TGGATGATACTTCTTGGTTGATTTTGATGGAATTTTTGCATTAAAATATTCACAAATAATTGATAAATGAAGAACGGTGCTACATTGGGATAACAAATGAAGCAATGAGATTCCCTGCTGCAGCATTTCCAATAAAACTTGGACTGTCTAGCTCAGTTGCTGAACCTGAGATGTCTGTCCCAATAGACATTCTGAGATCCAGAGACTTCAGTGGCCTTTTCATGTTGTATAAAAACCATGAAATCAGCCTACCTACCTATATAGTAGATAACTTCATTCTTTTCTTTGATTTCTCAAATTTCTAAATTTTGGATTTCTGAAACACGGGGAGTTTTGTTATGTAAGTCTTTTGGTGACTTCTAAAACTCATCTTTTTTCTACAATAATTTCAAGAAAATGTGTATTCAATTAGTAAATACATTTTATTTGCATTATTTATTTCACTTATGTTGTTGAGCTATACGTGCACATAGTTTAATGAAATGTCATTTGCTCCAAAGCAGTAATTTTTTTAACCACAGCACACTATGGACTGATTCATGTATGCAGACATTTCCACTGAAAATCCAAGTGCAAGTACACTATTAATATATAACCATACTTATACTGTGGCATTCTAGAAGTGGATTTATTATTATAACACATGTTAATTCTTTGTTAGGTTGTGAGGTCTTTGAGCAAGGATATTATCTTTTGCATATTTATATTCTCGTATTCTTCTTAAAGCGCACACAACTCATTACATAAGGCAGAAACTCAATAAATTTATGGGTGCTGTGTTCTTGGTGCTATTTAAAGACTTCTGTAAGAGAAATAGACCAGAGACCAATAGACCCAGAGTTCTATTGGTCTAATGGTTAGGGCCTCTGTCCATGGGATTGTTGTCTTTTCTCAGGAGGTCATAGTGCAGATGTTTGACCGTTCTCTACGATCTGAACCAAGCTTACTAGATAAAGTGGTTCTAATTACATATGATGGTGATGGTTCAGGTAGCAGTCTTTGCCTTGGTCTCACCTTCTCCTTCCTCAACCCCATATTGGTACCAGGGGGGTATTTTAAAAACACGAATCTGATCATATTCCTTGCTGAGAATCTTTCTATGTAAGAGCCTTCCCAGCCCCTCTTATGTGTAGCTTAGGTGGCCCTACTTCCTCTGTACTTGTACATGCAAATATCAGAATATTCATCCCCTACACTATCTGTGTGGATTTATGGGACATAGATTGTGATAAAACTGACTTTCAGTTTTGTATCTTCAGAATCTTCTTGAACACAGACCTGCAAATTGATATCTTCAAGTGTTTATGTCCAATATCATTT